GTCATCTGAAATCAAGGCTAATGAAAAAAAAATGAAGCTTTATATCTATGTTGAAGTTTACTGATTATCCATTGACATTTTTCTTAGCTGAAAATTCAAACTCTTTGACAAATAAAGATTCTCCAGTTTTGATATCTTTTAGTTTTGATATCTATATTAAATATGCCCATAAATGCATACTGCTTTTGTTGTTCCTGAATCAATGTCAGCAAATAATATAGAACCTCCAAGAAATGAATTACTTTTCCCTTGACATGTTATGAATGCATTTAGTGATTTAGCTTCCAATTTCTCTGACCAGCTGCCATTCAAAACAAATGGCATTCTTCTATTCTCACTTAATCGAATGACTAATGTTTATATGTGATGGTACTACAATTTACAACTCATACCTGATTTCAGCTGAGGGTGACCTTGGTAATAGTAGTGATATCCAAACAATCCCTGAGTTACATATGCCCAACTTATAAATTCCTTAGAGTTAAGAATGGAGGTGATACAACAGGAAGTGAAAGAAATCTGTCCCCCAGAAGGAAAATTCACTCATGAAAGAGTTGTTATGGAGAAAAATTGTCTCCACTGAAGCTTTATCGTCAATCCTTGTTTCTACAAGACACATTTTTCAAATCCAATGATGACAGGGGCAGAAAGTGAGGTGAAATCTTCTGAACAGGGGCACAGGCAGGAAAAGAAATTTCACAAGGGTTTTAAACTTTCCCTATGGTATACAAAGATACAGATATACATTTGGTTGGAGTTACACTTCAAAATGTACTTGTTCCAACTTACATACAAATTCAGCTTAAGAACAGACACAGAACCTACCTTGTTCATAACTTGAGGATTGCTTGCATATCTTTGTTTTTCTTCCTTTTTTATCCTCTCACAGTGATAACCTAATCAAGCAAGGTACTACTACGGTTGCGCTACTGAAATTCTAACACTGATGTATGTATAGCATTGTAACTTCAAAATGACATTTTAGGGTGATTGGAATTGTTTCAGAATATGAAGTGAAACAAGTCCCATTGTGTTCTTAAAAAATGTAAATAAATGGCTTTTGTTGTGATAAAACAAATCATTTCTAAGAAGAAGAAAAAAAACAATTAAGAGAAGATGTATTGTCGAAGGCTTTCATGGCCGGAATCACTGGGTTGTTGTAAGTCTATTGGGGCTATATGGCCATGTTCTAGAGGCATTCTCTCCTGACGTTTCGCCTGCATCTATGGCAAGCATTCTCAGAGGTATCGAGGTCTGTTGGAACTAGGAAAATGGGTTTATATATCTGTGGAATGACCAGGGTGGGACAAAGAACTCTTGTCTGTTGGATCTAGGTGTGAATGTTTCAGCTGACCACCTTGATTAGCATTTGATGGCCTGACAGTGCCTGGGGCAATCTTTTGTTGAGAGGTGATTAGATGTCCCAGATTGTTTCCTCTCGGTTGTTTTGCTGTTGTAATTTTAGAGTTTTTTTTAATACTGGTAGCCAGATTTTGTTCATTTTCATGGTTTCCTCCTTTCTGTTGAAATTGTCCACATGCTTGTGGATTTCAGTGGCTTCTCTGTGTAGTATGACATGGTCGTTGTGAGAGTTGTCCAGCATTTCTGGGTTCTCAAATAATATGCTGTGCCCAGGTACTCTGCTATGGCTGACTTCTCTGCTATGGCTGACTTCTCTGCTTGAAGTAGTCTGCAGTGCCTTTCATGTTCCTTGATTCGTGTTTGGACCACCAAACGCAGCGCCCAAACATGAATCAAGGAACATGAAAGACACTGTAGACTACTTCAACCAGAGAACCTGTGGGCCGGATGTGACCCCTTGGGCCCTTCTCTCTGGCCCTTGTCTGCCTCGACCCTCCTCTCACCATGTAGATTTGCATCCTGCCGCATTCCCGGGTTGAGGGGAGTGCTGCGCCAAAGACACATGACTGCTGAGAGTTCTCCAGAGAACTCTTGGCAGCAGCCTGTCTTCTCCTCCTCTCAGCTTGGGAACACAATGGGCCACTGCGTCCCTAGGCTGAGAGGGGGACCCTTCCTCCAGGCATCAACCTTCTTGTGCCAACCACTTCCCCCCATGCCATTTGCCCATGGCCTACCCCCACCCCCTCCCTCCCAGCCTGGCTCACCTGCCCCAACCCAGCCCCCAATGCGACCCCCACCCAAAAAAGGTCTAGATTATGCCTAATCTAAAGTGATTGTGGGTGACATTTTTCCAAAGTTAATAGCACCTAATTTCTATAACTATATTCTGGGTACATTGTGTTCAGAAGTCTTGGCCTCAAACATTAGCTTTGGCACCAGTCAGAAACAGATGTGGTCCAGTGGCCTGATTTGTCACCTCATCAGCTTTCATCTGCCTTGTAATCTTGGGACACTTGTGTTATCAAAATAGTAGGAAGATTTATCTAGGAGAAACCATTCTGAGGGCCAAGTTCAACTTCAGTTTCACGTATTCAACAAAAGCAAGTGCCAAGGGCAACAGGGGAGTCAACAGCAAGTATTTGGCTTGACAGGCTTTTGGTCAAAGCACCTTGGCTGGCTCAAACCTTGGCTTAGATATGACAAATACTGGAGAGGAAGCCTCGGGCGGATGTAATCCAGTCATAACAATAGTTATGACACTCCTGATAATAAAAGCACCCATTTCCTGGCAGAACACCCAGATGCGGTGAGCTTGTTCTTGCTGCTCACGGTGAACCTAATATTGTCACATTGTCAAGACATTTCCACTTAGTGCTGAAAAACTATCCTCAGCAGGTGTGCTGGAGTTTTGTTTAAAAAATGTCCTGAAATGTTTCTAGCAGAATCTGTATGGTGATTAGTCTGTGAAATATTAGTTACAGTCTTAGGCATGTTGTATTCTGTTTTTGGGAAATAGAACTGGGGCAACATCTGCCTTAAACAGAAGGATATACTTCAGTTTTTTAAAAAATAAAGCCAGATATGCTGTTGATGATTGTTTCCTGCAATTTTTAGGAAGCTTTCTATCCAGGTAGTGGCTTGGGCCAGACATTTTTTGCTATAGAGACAGAGAATTGTGTCATGTATGGTGTGAAGCATTTCAAGGATGGAGACACTTAAGCCAATTTTCTGCCTTTATGTTTAGGACTTACTGTATATACTTGAGTATAAGCCCAGTTTTTCAGCCCTTGTTTTAGGCTGAAAAAAAATCCCCTCAGCTTATACTCGAGTCAAGGTTATTTATTATTTTACTCTGCTATTAGTATTATTTTATTACATTTATTATTTTACTCTATTATTATTATTACATTTACATTATTTTATTATATTATTACTTTTATTACATTGATTATTTTACTCTATTATTATTATGTTTACATTATTTTACTGTATTATCATATTTATTGCATTTATTATTTTACTCTATTATTGTTATTATTACATTTATTACTTTATTATTATTACTATTATTATTAAATTTCCATTATTTACTATATTATTATTTTTATTACATGTTTTATATTTATTATTTTATTCTATCATTATAGGTAATAGGTAAGCATATTTGCATTTAAGGAGGTTAGAATAATGGTTGAATCAGAGTTGGGCAGTCTTATGTTAAATTACAGTTTTGTGTAAATACTCCAAAACATTTAACCTACTGACGATTACCAGTAGCAGCTACTTTTCTCACCCTATGCTTATACGTTTTTCCATTTTTTTTCTGGTAAAATTAGGTCCCTCGGCTTGTATTTGGATTGGCTTATACTCGAGTATATACGGTACTTCTTTGAGATCTGATGAACATAACAAATGGTTTCTACAAGTGTTTGTCTTATCAAAGTGTTGAACTGGAGAATCTGGAATACAGTTGGCAATACCTAGCAACATTCAGAACTCAAACTAGAGAAAATGAGATTAAATGAGCCAAAAGTGAGATAATAGAGGAGGCACAAAGGCAAAGAGTGCAGGAATTCTGATGTTTGATAGTTCTCACTTTGTTCTTATATGACTGCATTGCTCTTCATATAAAGAGTCGTGTACCTGAAGTGTTTCCTTCTGGTATTGTGAAAAAGCTGTGTCCATTGTTATCTGTCTGTCTGTCTGTCTGTCTGTCTGTCTGTCTGTCTATTTATTTACTCACTTACAATATTTATATACTGCCTTTCTCACCCCTGGGGGGACTCATGCAAACGTTTAAGAGTTTAAATATGTATTTAGAAACCTACTATCTATTCATCCTTTTGAAAAATAGTTTTGTCTTCTGGGTTGCTGTGAGTTTTCCGGGCTGTATGGCCATGTTCTAGAAGCTTTCTTTCCTGACATTTCACCCACATCTATGGCAGGCATCCTCAGAGATTGAGGGGTCTGTTGGAAACTAAGGAAGTGAGGTTTATATATCTGTGGAATGTTCAGGGTCGGGGAAAGATATATTCCGCAGATATATACACCTCACTTATATAGTTTCCAACAGACCCCTCAACGTCTGATGATGCCTGCATAGATGTGGGTGAAATGCAGAGGCGGCCCTAGGTAATTTTCAACTGTAAACAAACAGTATTTTGGCACCCCCTCCCCCAAACCAATCACTGATATATATTTTCTGTTCGACATGGGAGTTCTGTGTGCCATATATAGTTCAATTCCATCACTGGTGGAGTTCAGAATGCTCTTTGACTGTAGGTGAACTATACATCCCAGTAACTACAACTTGCATATGTCAAGGTCTATTTTTCCCTAAGAGCGCCTCAAGAGCACCCCTGGGCAAAATCAACTATACTGCAAAGGCTTACTTTGCGTAATGGGTTAAGCCGCCCCTGGTGAAACGTCAGGAGAGAATGCTTCTGGAACATGGCCACACAGTCCGGAAAACCCATAGCAACAAGTGATTCCAGCCATGTAAGCCTTCAACAACATAGTTTTGTTTTCTGTCCCTCAATAAACATACTTTCTAAGATTCAGAGAAGTATTTTCACTATGGGAATTGGTAATACTGCCAAAAGCACTCAAATGTTTCCCACTCTTTTGTTCCCCACCAGGCGAGAGGAGCAGACATCCCTGAGATTTCAGGAGAGCTACCGCTGCGGACATGTGGGAGCACAGCCAGCATGAAAGTGAAAAATGTGAAAAAGTAAGCTCTTTTATCTCGTCATTGATACTTTTCTAGTTTCTCTGATTGACACTGTTGTTACTAATGCAAGCACAGACAAACCTGTGAAAAACAAGTGAATGTTATCCTCAAGTACCAAGGAAGTTATTCAAATTACTGAAAGGCCACCCACATTTTTGTTGCTCAGTGTGCATCTGGAAACGAGGAAAGAATAACAGAAGATTATTCATAATTCTTAACTTTTCTGCGTTTTGATTCAAAACATTTTTACTATCAACAATTTTGGGAGTAATGGTGGGTTAACCCAATCAGTATTTTGGTTTAATGATCTCATTCACATGTGTAGCTGCTGATTTCTAATAATGTGATGGAATGGGTTCATGACCCTTTCCCATTTCCCCAATGAATTAACTGTAGCTAGGAGAGATATCTTTACCATTCTTATTTTGAGCCTATTTATCTGCCTTTGTTGTTTGCAATGTCTAAGGACAGTGGCTTGCACAAGGTGAACAATATCAGTATTGATTCAGACATAACACCAAAACCTCTGTAGCAGAAAAAGGCTTTGTACCTTTCTCCTGGTTCTGGTTTGCAATCCCTGATTTATCATGGCAGACATCACAACATACCAAAGAGGTGCTTCCTTATCAAGTTGGTTTGGCATGGTGTCAGAATGGAACCTAAAAATAAATATTGTTGTGTGTAAAGTGGAAGTGTGCCTACCTACACATTTAATTTACAGAAAGTTGTGCCAAAATGTTTGCCTCAAATAATAAAAGTTTGAAAATATATATACTCTAGCTTATAAGTGCCATTTTAACCATATCTTGTAACTGTGTCTGTTTGCTCCATCTATTTTCTTGCTCTGAGCAGAATGATTTTTGCTATATATTCTACTAGGTGAATTTGTACATCCTCAGCTATAATGTTGGTCTAAGGTTCAGAGGACTGTCCAGCAGGGATGGATTTATTTGGAGCATCCACTTATCATCTGTTGATTTTGCCAGAATAGCTCATGACCCTATTTCTAAGGGGAAGAGACCAGATGCTAAATCTCATTTTCACTCTTAAATTTCTGCAGGAAGAGTGAGTGATGATCACAGTCTCTTCATTTTACAGCCAGAAATATCTGCCCTAGGAATCTCAAATAGCTCTAGAACCTGTAAAAGTGTAACCTCTCTAATGTTTGGAACGATGGTAGACAATTACAGGGCATTGCCATATTCAAACTAGATAAAGGATATGGGAAAAAAAAATTCTGCTGGTGGGCTGTGACCCCTTTCACAGGTAAAGCTCTGGTTTCATTTGTGTGGGATGTTGCTCAGTTTGTTTCACCTGTTGTTTGTATGAAGAGAATGGACACCTAACGTACGTGTGAAAAAGATCTTGGGGTCCTTGTGGACAACAAGTTAAACATGAGCCAACAATGTGATGTGGCAGCAAAAAAAGCCAATGGGATTTTGGCCTGCATCAATAGGAGTATAGTGTCTAGATCTAGGGAAGTCATGCTACCCCTCTATTCTGCTTTTGTCAGACCACACCTGGAATACTGCGTCCAAGTCTAGACACCACAGTTAAAGGGAGATGTTGACAAGTGAATGTGTCCAGAGGAGGGTGACTAAAATGATCAAGGGTCTGGAGAACAAGCCCTATGAGGAGCGGCTTAAAGATCTGGGCATGTTTAGCCTGAAGAAGAGAAGGCTGAGAGGAGACATGATAGCCATGTATAAATATGTGAGAGGAAGTCACAGGGAGGAGGGAGCAAGATTGTTTTCTGCTTCCCTGGAGACTAGGATGCGGAACAATGGCTTCATTGAAAGGAGATTCTATCTGAACATTAGGAAGAACTTCCTGACTGTGAGAGCCGTTCAGCAGTGGAACTCTCTGCCCCGGAGTGTGGTGGAGGCTCCTTCTTTGGAAGCTTTTAAACAGAGGCTGGATGGCTATCTGTCAGGGGTTCTTTGAATACAATATTCCTGCTTCTTGGCAGGGGGTTGGACTAGATGGCCCATGAGGTCTCTTCTAACTCTATGATTCTATGATTCTAATACCTGCGTTCTCCTCTCAGGCACTCTCCTCTCATGGCAATGAGAGGAAACGCAGAGATGGCAACCGGGTCATAGACTGAGATCTCAGGCATGGGATGTTTTCCCAGGGGGGCTTCTGCAAGTGTTTATCCAGCACAAGGACGACATGGCAATAACAACCAACAGTTTGTGCCTCACAGAATTGTTTCCTCATTGCTTTTTCTGTGTCATATGGACAACTTTGCACATTCCTATGAATCTGGTATTACTTGGTGCTCAGATCATACTTTTGGTACAGTCTTTATTTTTACACACAAAGTCAGCCTCAGTGATTGCAATAACTTAGTTTGGATTTATTGTTTCTATTTCAGATTATCCTTTACCAAGGGCCACTTTCCAAAGATGGCTGAATGTGCCCACTTCCATTATGAAAATGTGGATTTTGGAAATATTCAGGTGAGCTTGTTTATGAACTTTTTCTGTTTAGTCTAGATGAAAGGACTACATAGAAATTGAATACCCCTGTTGTAAACCTGATTGTGCTTTGTGCTGTTAATAGATTACTAGTCTCTTGCCACCCTCTTTGCATATTGTCCAATCTCTCCTAATGGCAATATACTTTTCCCTGTCACATCTTCTTCAGTTTATAACCTGCCAGCCATTATGGCTGCAGCTAAATGGCTACCTGCCTATCTCATATACAGGCAGTCCCTGAGCTATGAACATCCAGCTTACAAACAGTTAGTGGGTTGTTGTATGTTTTTTCAGGCTATATGGCCATGTTCTAGAGGCATTCTCTCCTGATGTTTCACCTGCATCTATGGCAAGCATCCTCAGAGGTAGTGAGGTCATAGTTATGCACAGGCCTCTGTCCTCCCTCACTGCCATGAAATCTTAGCACTGAGCCAAAACATATCTGTATCTCTCCACCCCACTTTTCGTTTTTCTCCCTGTTGATCTCTCCAAACTCCTTTTTTCCTTTTCTTCCTATCCATATCTCTCCACCCCCTATCTTTTTCTTCCACTTTCAGTTGGGTTGCTGTCTTCTGAAGAATTCTGAGGTTTGTAGTTTAATGAGGCACAGGATCCCTCTGGCTGAGCGGTTTAAAGACCACTTTCTAAACTACAAACCCCAGAATTTTGCAGAAGGAAGCAGCTGGACTTAAAGTGGATTGATGCTCTAAAGCAGTGTTTCCCAACTTTTTTTTTGACCAGGGACCACTTTGACCAGGGAGCACTCTCCAATATTAGTACCAAAAGGGTTACCAATCAGTTTTTGGTCAACTTTAGATTTGGTTTGGTTATTTGGGGTGCTGATTCGGAAAATTGCATTGGAGACCACATCTGCTCTAGTTTCTGATGCAGAACATAGGCCATCCAGTAGTCGCCAACTGCTCGCCCACAGGAAAACATATTTAATAAGCCTGCACGATAAGAGGGTTTCGTGAGACCAGTCACTCTTATTGCAATGGTATAGTAACGTTGAGGTTGCAGACCATATTTTAGTTCTTGTGGACCACTGGTGGTCCACAGACAACGGGTTCGGAACCAATGCCCTAGAGCAGGGGTCCCCAAAATAAGGCCCGGGGGCCAGATACGGCCCTCCAAGGTCATTTACCCAGCCCTTTCTCAGGATCAACCTAAGCCTGAAACAACTTGAAAGCACACAACAACTGTCCTATCTCATCAGCCAAAAGCAGGCCCATACTTCCGATTGAAATACTAATAAGTTTATATTTATTAAAATTGTTCTTCATTTTAATTATTGTATTGTTTTTAAGTGTTTTTTGCACTACATGTGCAGTGTGCATAGGAATTCATTCATGTTTTTTTTCTTCAAATTATACTCTGAACAGTTTAAGAGACTGTGACCTGGCCCTCTGTTTAAAAAGTTTGAGGATCCCAGCTCTATAGAGTGATGAGATCCAGTATCGCCTTCGTCCTCCCTGTATTTCTCTACCTCTCCTCACCTTTCCTTCATGTCTGACACTACTTTTAATTGCCCTGGCTCAATGCCACGCTATGCTGGGATTTGCAGTTTGGTAAAGCAGCATCATTCTTTGGCAGAGAAGGCTAAGGATCCCAGAGCAAAGTGTTAAAGTGGTGCCAAATTGCATTCATTCCACAGCAACTACATCCCAAAGAATCTGGGGCAGGATAAACAGGTGAGGCTCCTGGAAGAAAAGGTTATCTAATTCTATCATTTTCCTTTCAATTGCTTGGAAGCTTTGGTGTGTTTAAAAAGGGGATTCTAATCACACATGAACTAGAATGCGCACCTTTTTGGCCAAATTACAAACAATGCACTTTTTTCCTTGACCTGTTCTGACTTGCAAATAAATCCAACTTAAGAACGAACCTACATACCCTATCGTGTTTGTAACTTGGGGACTGCCTGTATTCCCATTCCTTTTGAATCTTTAGTTCTGAATGAGCACAACTCAACTCTGTTTTGGTCTGTGCTAATAGTAGACTGGAGGAATGTACTAAACTCTGAGTCACATACAGGCTTCTTATGTTTTTAAATTAAGTCTGATAACTGCTTGGAATAAGGGACTCATCATCAATGTACTTTGAATTTACATTCCTTGTTACATGTTCCTTTGAGATTCCCTCCCCTTTTCTTGGAATTAAACGAGGCACAAACACTGACTCCTCCTACCGCTCTTAATGTATTACCACAATGAAACTATTGTTGAAATGTTCAAATTTACTTCCAGATTGAAGTAAAAAAGATTGACTGACTTGAATCAGCTAGAGCTGATTTGCAGTTCTAGAGATGATAAAAGCAATCTTGAAAATATTCCCTGTTAGTTTCTGATAATTGATCTTTTGAAGTTTATCTTTGTTTAACAACGATTTTAAACACCCTCTTGGTTTAACCTAATAACACTACCTACACGGTCTGAATTATCCTGCATTCAAAAGCTCTGTTGAATAACAGATTCTCCATTATCATTAGCGATACACTTTTGTTCCTAAAGCAACTAAATTCACTCTAGAGCACACCTTCTTTATCCAGCTAATCCATTAAATCTGCTATTCTTATGAAGTGCCTTCTGCATTATTCTTTAGTAACTATAGCTTTTGTTGAAATGTACATGATGCATGCCAGAACAGCTTCTAACCTTTTACTTTCTTTCATATAATCCATACGTAGCAATCCATACTCTGGAAGGTCCCCTCTCCAAAGATTCCTAGGCTTATACATGAGTATATAGAGTAGGCAGCTTCATTTAAAAAAGAAAGCAATTATTGCTATTTTATTTATTTATCTGAAGGATGTTAGTCAGGATTTTCAGATGAGAAAGGCTCCTATAGAAGCTTACAAAGAAAATAAGAAAGTCCCAGTCCTTGAGTACATGCTCTAAAAGACATCACACAAAAGGGAAAGAAAATGGGTAAAGGATGGAAATCTTGGGCAGTTGGACTTAGTGGGGTTTATTGCTTCCTGGATTGTAGGATCATCGCAATTCGATATGTTTGAGTTATTTTGATAATTTAATACTGTATGAGTTGTACCTGGGAGCCATTTATGTAGACTTGGTTGTGTGATTGATGTTGCATGATTCGCTGTGCTAAGTTAGAGAGTCTGACACCTGAATTTTAAATCAAGGCTTTTGGACAGAAATGACTCTACACACAACTTTTTGAATGATTAGTGCATTGTTATTATATAATAAGAGAATTCAAATACGGTTTTTGTGTGCATTGGGTTGTTGTAGGTTTTTCCGGGCTATATGGCCATGTTCTGGAAGCAATTTTTCTCCTGACGTTTCGCCTGCATCTATGGCAAGCATCCTCAGGATGCTTGCCATAGATGCAGGTGAAACGTCAGGAGAAAAATTGCTTCCAGAACATGGCCATATAGCCCGGAAAAACCTACAACAACCCAGTGATCCCGGCCATGAAAGCCTTCGACAATACATTTGTGTGCATTGTTTTAACACTATTACATATGAACAATACATGCAGTTGTTTATTTTTATTTCGTGGCAAAAGCATTGCATAAATAAATATAAAACTGATACAAAATAGAAGAAGCAGAAGTGGCTAAATAATTTTTGATCAAAAATGGGCAACAGTGACCACACTGTTTGTAGCCTTAAACAATTTTTCCTCTGTGCATGAGCAGGCATAAGGGACAGGCATAAAGGTGCAGAGTTGTTTGTTCTCTTCCTCAGTCACGCAAGGTGGAGGATTCTTCTAGGTCAGTGGTTCTCAACCTTCCTAATGCTGCAACCCCTTAATACAATTCCTCATGTTGTGGTGACCCCCAACCATAAAATTATTTTCATTACTACTTCTTAATTGTAATGTTGCTTCTGTTATGAATCATAATGTCAATGTCTGATGTGCAGGTTGTATTTTCATTGATTGAACCAAATTTGGCACAAATGCCTGATACGCCCAAATTTGAATACTGGTGGGGTGGTGGTGGTGGGGAGATTTTGTCATTTGGGAGTTGTAGTTGATGGGATTTATAGTTCACCTACAATCAGAGAGCATTCTGAACACCACTAATGATGAAATTGAACTAAACTTGGCATACAGAACTCCAATTACGCCGAATGTGAAAGTGCGAGCCAGGCAAGGAGGATTTGTGCGAGGTTAGGCCTTGCGCTGACATCCCCTCGCCCGCCTCGCGCCCTTGCCGAATGGCGAAAGTGCGAGGTGGGCGAGGGGGCTTTGCGTGAGGTCAGGCCTTGCACCAACATCCCCTTGCCCGCCTTGCACCCTCGCCGAATGGTGAAAATGCGAGGCGGGCGAGGGGGCTTTGCGTGAAGTCAGGCCTCGCGCTGAGAGCCCCTCGCCTGCCTTGCACCTTCGCTGAATGGTGAAAGTGTGAGGCGGGTGAGAGGACTTTGTGCAAGGCCAGGCCTCACGCCAAGGACCCCATACCCGCCTCACGCCCACAACGGATACTGAGAGTGCGCGGGAGGTGAAGCGAGCTTTGCGCGATGCCAGGCCTCGTGCGAAGGAGCCCTCGCCTGGCCCGCGCCCTTGGGAGGAGGCGGCCCCGCGGCCCCTCCTAAATGGCCAAGTGAACCCCCTGGGGGTCGCGACCCCCAGGTTGAGAACTGCTGTTCTAGGTAGTGCCATTTAGCCAAGTTGTCTTTTGATCTGACCAATCCGCTTCTGAGTCTGTTCAAGGACTTCCAAGTTGCCCATTCTTGGTTTGACCCTGGAGGCATACCTTATGGGGGGCAAACCAATGGGGATTTCCTGGTTTAGCTGCCCAAAGGGATACTTTTGCTATTGCTGAGGAAACATTAAAAGGAGTAGTGGTTCTCATGAAGCTTTTCCTTGGGAGGAGGCTGATAGCCATTCAGTGGATGGCTTTCACAGTGTTCAACCTTATTTCCCTCACAGTCAGCAGCAACTTCCCATTGCACATCGCCGAAGGGGGTGGGGGGTGGGGGCAATGCTAGCTACAATGCAGTTGTTCATCAACA